TCCCTGGGACCCCCCATGGTAGGAGAGAGAATGAATTGAAGCAAGTAGTCTTTTGACCTCTGCACACATGTGGATGCACAAATGCAGAAATAATTTAAAGGTTAACTTTATTTTATATGGATTTTTATTTCCATATGTTGCCTAAGTGTTGAGGATCACTAAACCCCAGAGCAGGGTAGCTGTTTTCCTCAGAGAAGGCACGCATGCATCACTGGTGACCAAGAGACAATCCAGCATGAGAAGTCAGAGTCAAAATCCTTCTGACCTTTGCAGCAATGAACCTGGGGACCAAACAACTGCAGAGGTCTTGGGGGAGGTCTCCTGCAGAAGGGGAGGGAGGGGAGAGGGGAGGCTGACCTGTTTTAGAAAGGCCACTTGGGCTGCCAAACACTTGCTTAGGCAAGGCCCATAAATAGCCTAACCCAAGGGGTGAATGGGGAGGAGAGTGGAGGGGGAGGGGGTTGTGGATCCCAAAACAAGACAAGCCAAGCTGCAGTGAACCTTACCACTGGAGTGGCAGTGGTGGCGGATTGAAACTGGTAGTTTCTGGAAGATTCTACAAGTTTCTGGAAGATTCTAAAAGTTTCTAGGTTATTTATGGGCAAGTCAGAAGAAAATATTTGAGATTAGTGTCTTAGAATGAACGTATTTTCATAATATTATCAATTGACTTTTAAAACGAGAGGGGACAGTTGATACTAGGGCTGTGTTTCTGTCACCTGGGGCAGCAGGTGCATCTGTGCAGAGCCCGTCACTGGGCAGGACATTGTGGCAGGGTCCGCAGGCTGCAGGTGACCGCACTCACAGGAGGACTGGAGGGACAGGAAGCCTGGCTGCTCCTCCAGCTCTGGTGTACTCAAAGCAACAAGCACGGGCCTGTGGCGTGGAACCAGCCTGGCAGGGGTGCAGTTCCTACTGAGGAATGTAGCCAGGCACGTGGGGACCATGAGTGGGTGGGGTGGACCTGACATGGTGAGGTGTGCCTCAGGGAGGGGCCTCAAGGGCTCTAGAACCTTCTCTTGTGCCTTGCTGGGGATGGCACAAGTTTTCATGAGCTGGTCACAGGACTTGTTACCTGACATTTTGGAACAGGTAGAAAGCAGGGAGGCCATGAACAGGAAAGAACACACATGTGGTGGGCAGGGAGGCCATGAACGGGAAAGAACACACATGTGGTGGGCAGGGAGGCCATGAACGAGAAAGAACACACATGTGGTGGGCAGGGAGGCAAGGGCAGCAGTGGAGTCACCTCATCCGCAGGGCAGGAGGAGGAGGTGGGCCAAGGCAAGAAGGTCCGGAATCAGTTGCTTCCTTCTGGACACAGGTAGTGCCACAGCTGCCTCTGACCCGGAGCTTGGTTGGCCACCCCAGGGCACATCCGCACAGCAGAAACACAGGCAGCAAGGCTGGAGCACAATCAGCAGAACAGCCAGGATAGAGGGTAGGAATGCGGCCGCCAGGCTGCCAGAGGTGCATTCTTTCCATGCACAATAACAAGGCAGTATCAGTTCAGCCTTGGGTGCCTGCTACAGCTCTGACCCCAAGGACATCGGCTTAGGAAGACCCAGATACCAAAGGTCAGAGGGTGTGGGGGTCTGCGACACATGTCCAGGAAAACCCAGAGACAGGAAGTGGGGTTGATTCATGGGGTGATGGATGGAGAGGGCTGTTCAGGAGATGGGGTTTCTTTGAGAGTGATAGAATGTTCTGGAATTAAATGGTGGTAATGGTTACACAAAGTTGTTGTGACTATATCAAAAGCCACTGAGCTGGGCCTAGAGCAGGAATGTTAGGCCGAGGACCCTTAGTGGGTAGAGTCTAGCACACATGCACTCTTAGGTTCATCTCTAGCACCACTTAACGATGGGGCCCATGCCAGTCATCCAGCACTCGGGAGGCCGAGGCAGAGTTCAAGGTCAGCCTCAGTTACAGAGGGGCTTTGAAGCCAGCCTGGGAGGAAGGGAGGAAGGGAAGGAAGGAGGGACGGAGAGGGGGAAAGGTGTAAGCTTCCCTGGGATGCGGCTCAGGAGTTAAGGGAGATCATGAATTCTGATCCAAGATTTTAACCCACTGTCACCATGGACATGGTCACCCACCATCTGACCCACAGTCAACCATGGACACGGTCACCATGGACACAGTCACCCACCATCTGACCCGTAGTCACCATGGACACAGTCACCATGGACACAGTCACACACCGTCTGACCCACCGTCACCATAGACATAATCACCCACAGTCTGACCCACCGTCACCATGGACATGGTCACCCACCGTCTGACCCACCGTCACCATGGACATGGTCACCCACCGTCTGACCCGGTCACCATGGACACGGTCACCATGGAGCCATGGCTGCTGTACAAATCTGGCCACCAGCTGTCTGTTCTGCATCATCTGCCAGCTACTTAGGGTTTCACATTTCTTTCAAGTGGTTGGAAGGCATCAAAAATCAAAATGTTTTGTGGCAAGTTCAAATAAAGGAAACTCATAGTTCAGCATCCACAAATAAAGTTTTATTGGCACATGGCCCTGGCTGTGCCTACATACACTGCTTTTAGCTACAACTGAGAAACACCAGTGGCCCATGGGCAGTGGACACTGGCAGGAGGATGGACAGGAATTTGAAGCCAGCCTGGGCAACCTAGTGAGACACTGCCCCATGAAAAGATAATTTCCTCCATTCTGGTGAGCAGCTCAAGAGGCAGAGGGTCACAAAGTCAGCCTTAGATACCCAGCTGCAGCACCTCATCCAAGACTCAGAAACATTGCTAACAGCCATGGAGGACTTTAAGAAGCCAGACCAACAAGAAGCCAGGAGCTACAAGGCACAGGGGTGCCAAGGGCCAGCTGCAGGAGTCTGTCTCCTGCGCCACTGGAAAACAATCAGTAGTTTGCTATCCTTGAACTTGCTGGGGTTTCTTGTTTGTACAGAACTCAGGCCTCACTTGTTAGGTGGCCACCTTGCTGAGCCATGCCCCCAGCCCCTCACTGGGGGGATTCTAGGTGGGGCTCCACCCTGACCATGCCCCTAGCCTATCCCTGGGGGATTCTAGGCGGGGCTCCAAGGGGTGTTGCTCAACTTCTGAACTAAACTCATCTCTATCTTTTTTTGGTTTTTCAAGACAGGGTTTTTCTGTGTAGCATTGGCTGTCCTGGAACTCATTCTGTAGACCAGGGTGGCCTTGAACTCACTGAGATCCTCCTGCTTCTGCCTCCTGAGTGCTGGGATTAAAGTTGTGTGACACCACTGCCTGGCTTCAGCCCATCTCTTTAACTGTTTTCTACTTTGAGTATCACAGGCTGTGGCCCATGGGGAGGGAACGTGCTAGCATGTGTGTGACCCTGGCTTCCATCCCCAGCACCGCGTTACATTACATCTGGTCCTTGGGATGTGGAAGCAAAGAGTTCAGGGTCATCCTCAGCAACTCAGAGGTCAGCCTTGGGCTGCGTGCTATCTATGATCTGGAGTGGGCATTCGCTAGGCAGAAGATGCTGGGGTTTGAGGTCTATAAACAGCAGCAAACCAGACACTCAAGCAACTTTACAGCAATATGAATACTCGGTAGAGATTTTTTTCTTTCATAATGGACATCTAGCTCTACAGGGAGTCAGAGAGAGAGAGAGAGAGAGAGAGAGAGAGAGAGAGAGAGAGAGAGAAAGAGATGGGGAGGGGGCTCTGTATGTCTAACATCCCAAGACCCACACTGCAGGGCAAGAGAGAGCTGAGTGGTGAGGGAGAGTGCAGATCCAGGGGTACATAGCCAGGGGCAAGATCTGGTAGCATAGCCCAAGAACTCCAATTTACAAAATCAAATAGAACTTTAAACAGCTCTCTCCAGTCCAGCAGCTACTTCCTCCCAGGACACCGCCTGAATCAGGACCAACTTCCGAGATGACCCTGTAGCTCCTACCAAACTGCCAGAGGGCTCGGGGGAAAGACACTTGATGCTAAGCCTGCCGACCTGAGTTCTGGCCTTGGGACCCACATGATGGAAGGACAGATCCAATTCCTAAAAGCTGTCTCTGACTTCTACACACAGACACCAAAAGAACTTTCAAAATGTAATAAAGTATTACAATGTCAACAAATAAATGGAAAAGATGTAATGAAGAAATAAAACTGCAATCCTTGGGAGTTTCCTCCCAACTTCTTTTGACTTCAAGTCAAGAGAAAATCTCCCCTGGTTTCGGAATGAATGGATGGATGTCGGATGCGTGGACAGACAGAAGACAGAACTGCTCTGTCTGCCTAAGGTCTGCATTTGCCCCACGTTCAGTTTTAAACAAAGTGAAATCTCTGGAAACTCCCAATCTAGACCAAGTGGAATGTGGGCACTGCCATTGGCCAAGCATAACCAAGCACTTAATAGCCTCCACTGTATGCTCAGACCTCTGTACTCGCGTACTAGGACTTCATGATTTCATACGTGCTTTGAGACTCTGGGAACTTTCTGGAAAAAGAACTTGTAACTCTGGGCGCCTGCGCCCCAGGGGTTCCACGGTGTGGGCATGAGCACATATGCCACTGAGGGCTCAGCAATAAAGGCGCCTGCTGCCAAGCCTCACACCCGGGGTTCCATCCCTGGTCCCCGGAGTGGAAGGTGCCCTGACCCACAGGTCTGCTGGCCTCTGGTACTCATGCGTGCATTTGAGGCGGAAAGACAGGTCCAGATAGGAAATTGCTAGGGGCACCATGTTTGGCCTATGCGAAGCTATGAGCGTGGTTGGCCATCCCTGGCTGGGAAGACTAGGCTTCTGCAGGTCTTTTAAGGGCGCACACAGCAGGCACTCCTGTAGCACAGGCCTGGCTCTCACAGGGGTTGCTCACACGGTGAAACACGGGCAGTCACTCAATTTAAGGACCTCAGATGATGGCTGATTGGGCACACAAATATTTGCTGAACAGACACTGGCTTCAGAACACTGGACAGAAAAGAAAGGGCCGAAGGAGTCTTCTAGAAAAGTAGGGGGAAATGTGTTCAAATCAGAACTTTACCGTCCTGGGAACCCGAAGCTCCTGTGCATTTCTGATCTGCTGGTGGCGCCCCAAGACGAGGGACAGGAAAGAGAGGCAGGTACACGGAGAAAGTAGCGTGCATTTCTAGAAACTTCTTTCAAGAACCTAGCCTACAGACCACCTCTTGGACCAAATGTATTCTGGACAATGTGGTGTTTCTCAGAGGTAAATGGTTTGCAGGAACAAGATGGCAGGGCTAGGAGGAGCTTGACACCTGTGACTTCCACAAGTGAGCCAGGGCTGAGGCAAGCGAGCCACCTTGTCTTTCGGGACACAGCCCCTTCCCCTCCGGAGATTTCTCTGTTTTGATCTTTCTGGTCTTCTTGGTGTTCAGTCCGGGAAGAGATTTCCTCCTTCCTCTGCCATCTACTCTACTCAGTTCCTTCTGGTCAGAGACCTCGGTTCAATGTGACTCAGTGTCCGGGTGGAAACAGCGGTGGATGGATGGGTGGACCGATGGGTATGACTGATGGATGGATGTGTGGGTTGTGAAATGATGAGCAGAGGGTGGGTGGATGGACGAAGGCACAGGCATAATGTAGCCCATCCACACTCAACCATGAGAATGAAGAAAAGTCTCACACTTGATCCAGCCGATTTCCCAGGGTTCTCTAAGGAACAGAGCTGACAGAATGAACACACACATACATGGGATCGATTAGAGTTGCTCACAGGCTGTGGTCCGAGTCGTCCAACCGTGCTGTCTCTTGATGTGGCCGCAGCGGTTCTTTGGTCCCCGAGACCGGACATCTGGTGCTGGAGGCCAGGGAGGTCCCAGAGCTGCCAGGTTTCAGTCCATGGGATCCTGAAGAAGTGGGTTCCAACACCATCAGAGGAACCATCAAGATAAATAAACTTGCCAACGAGTCTGAGGGTGAGCAACAGAAAGAACAGCCATTCTGCCCCACGTCCCTTCACATGTTGTGCTACCTGAAGATTTGGCCCAGATTCAGGGTGGGTCTGTGCTCACAGGTGCCCAGCTGCTCAGGTTCTAATCAGCTTCAGCTGCAGTTAACAAGACGAGCCATTCGGCCAGCAGAGAGGGACCTTGAGGACACAATGCTCATTTAAAATGAGCCAGACACAGGAGCCTGCCTCCGGGGGGTCCCAACATCCCCAGATCCACAGAGATAGGGGCTGAGAGCTGGTGCTGAGCTTCTGAGCTTCATCAGGGCAGAAGGGGGCTCTGGAGATGAAGGTGGTCACAGCGATGACACGGGCCTGCTGTGAGGTGGGTGGACGTCACTGATTCCTCCGTCCTTGTTTCTCTCATTGTCCACCCATTCTGGAACCTCGTGCACATCAGCATACACCTCTGAAGCCTGACCTCTGGCTTGGATACCCCTCATCCTATAGATGCTCCCCCCCCCCTCCAGCTCCCTATATCACTGCTGCCCCTCAGTGTCCTGAGCACACAGCTGGCTGCATGGCCCCTGCTGGCTCCTAACCCATCCCTCCACATTCGAGGTCACTGAATTGATAGGCTTTGCCCGGCCCTGAATCCAAACACCCAGGAGGTCACTTTCCTCAGGGTCTGGGACACCGTGGTGAGCACCCAGACCCTGGAGAGCCCTTGGGAACTGGCACCTTGGTCCTTGTCACCTCTCCCACTGTGGCTGCAGTCTCCAGTGCGGATAGCAGAAGCTCTGACCCCAGAGGCCTCCAGCCCAGCAAGACACAAAGACAGCGAAGGGCCAGATGGTCACATTCTTCTGTGTCACAGATGCTCATGTCTGTCACTGCCTCTTACATGAAGGATTCTGGGGTCTGGGGCTCCGTGGTAGAGTACTTATCATGTAAGGAGCCCTAAACAGGGTGTGGTGGCACTTGCCTGTCATCCCAACACTCAGGAAGTGATGAGGAAGTCGAAGGTCATCCTTAGCTACACGGCAAGTCTGAGGCTATCCTGCTATACAACAGCCACCCTGCCACACACACAATTTAAAAATAACCACCAGGCTTTGACCCAAGAGTCATCGTTAACAACCCCTGCTTAGGCAGTTTGGAAAGTTTCCTGAAAACATGGCTATGTCCTCTCTCTCCATCAGCCACTGGCAACCACTGTGAGGTTTGCTGAAGCCTTGGCTACCTTCCCACTTGTCCTGGTCCTCTAGGCAGAATGGTGGCTGGCATCTGATGAGCCCTTCCAGGATACAGCTCAACACCCCCACCTCACACATGTCAGCCGATCTCCAGGGCTCCACCCCTCCCTCACCTTCCTCCAATCAGCAGGTGGTCCCCAGCCCCTCAGTGGATCCAACACAGCACTACCCCAGGCTTTTGCCCTTCCTGATCTTCATGACCTAATGTGTAATATCTAATCATGTGAGACCACAAAACCTCTATCTTGGGGGTGGTCTCATGTAGCCCAGGCTGGCCTTCATTATTTAATCAAAGTTGATCCTGAACCCCTGATTCTTCTGCCTCTGCCACCCCAGTGCCGGTTAACAGGCATGCTCCACACACCTGGTTTCTGGAGCCCGGGGCTTTGTGTATGGCAGGTAAATGATCCCCCTACTGAGCCCCACCAGGCACTTTATCTTTACACTTTATTACTTTATGTGCACGGACGCTTTGCCTGCCTGCATCTGTGCATCAAGAGCATGCCTAGTGCCCAGGAAGGGCAGATGAGGGCATCAGATCCCCGGGACTGTAAAGGGTTGTTTGTGGAAGCAGGGACCAAACCCAGGGCCTCCACAAAGGCAGCGCGTACGTGAGTGCTCTTAACCCCAAGCTGTCCTCCACTCTACCTGTTCTAACGGCTGTATACCACTCCTTGAGTTAATCAGGGCATCCTTGGGTGCGCACAGCAGCAGCAGCAGCAGCAGGCCCTGACTCTATAAGGAATTAGGGGCCAGTCAGCCATCTTGGCAGGAAATCACAGGATTTGCTAGAGCCCAAAAAAAAGAAGCCAGAGTTGCCAGGATGCTGGGCAGGGTGGCAGAACCTGCCAGGCCTACACCTCATATGACAGGAATGTGGCTGTAAGAAAGAGCTGAGGTGCATAAGGCTTGGTGCCTGGTCCTGGGGGCTGAGTTCAAGTCCTGGCATGAGCCAGCCAGCCTGCCTTGCCATGGCTCCCTTCCAGACATCAGAGTATTGGCACTGGAAGTCAAAGCCGCCCTGCCGAGTGGGCTGGCCACCCAGCAAACTTACGGTCACCATGATGCCTGAGGCCAGGGGGAAGTGGGGGGAGGACACTCAGCACTGGTGGTGAGGTTTAAGTTCAAGTAGCTTTTTTGGAGCTGGGGCCATGGCTCAGGGGTGATTACCTGACCGGCTCATTTGCGGTCCTGACTCAGTCCTCAGCCCTGCAGATAAACTGTGCACACACAGAACCCCGGAGGAGACAGAGCAACATGAAACACAGTCATTTTCCAGTATGGAAACAAATGGCAATGGAGGGATGGTGTGTCTTGGGAGCAGCTGGAGGGCTTCACAACCTGAGTACCCAGCTGCTGCTCACTAGTAGAAGAGTAAGGAATGGGAGGAATGGACTTGGGGGACCGTGGGAAGCTGGACTTGGCCACCTCAGGTATCAGGAACAATCTACAAAGGAGCAGTCACCCACCTGTCCACAGATTAATGCTGGACATAGGTGGGCTGAAATCCACACAGCACTGAAATCCCGGTAAAGGGTTGGGTGGTGGCACATGCCTTAATCTGAGCACTTGGGATGCAGAGAGGCAAGCAGATTTTGGTGAATTCGAAGCCAGTCTAGTCTACACAGCAAGTTCTAGGACAGCCTGGTCTAAAAGTGAGACACTGTCTCAAAAAATACAGTAAAAATAAAAAGAACAGCTGGGAATACTTGCGTAGCAAATGCAAAGCCCAGCACCTCAATAAATAAGTGGGAAAAAAAAAGAAAGAAAACAAAGCATATAACATGTGATTCCTTCTAGCTAAGGATTTAACAAGCTAAGCAATCATTAGTTTATAGATGAACTAATGAATATAGGAATATATTAGCATGTGCTAATAAGCATATATGAATATTCGTATCACCACTGGGACTGGGAGAGGCTTGCTGCCAAGCCTGATAACCTTTGTTTGATCCCCAAGTGAAGGAAAGGGCAAACTCTCATAAGTGGTCCTCAGACTTCCGCATGTATGCACAACAGGTGCTGCACACTCACTTAAATAATAAAGATTAAAAATACCACTACTAGCCCGGCAGTGGTGGCGCATGCCCTTAATCCTAGCACTCGGGAGGCAGAGGCAGGCGGATCTCTGTGAGTTTGAGGCTAGCCTGGTCTACAAGAGCTAGTTCCAGGACAGGCTCCAAAGCTACAGAGAAACCCTGTCAGAAAGAAAGAAAGAAAGAAAGAAAGAAAGAAAGAAAGAAAGAAAGAAAGAAAGAAAGAAAGAAAGAAAGAAAGAGAGAGAGAAAAGAAAAGGAAAAAAAGCCGGCGACTAATGCAGTTTAAGGCACCAGGGACCCTTCATGCAGCAAGGGAATTAAAAGCTGTATTTTAAAGGCTGAGAGTGGTGACATCGTCTATAACCCTATCGTTTCCCTAGGGCTCAGGGATCCACATGGAGACCAACCTGACAGGCAGTAGAACATTGTAGAATTGTTAAACCATCACTGATTCAAAGTATCCAAAATCCTCTCTCTGGCTCCTGCCCCTCAGTGTGTAATCCCCTGGATATGGCTGCCTGGTGGTAGGAGCCTTAGATTCCTTTCCCTGGGGCCGAGCTCTCGCTTCTCCCGTGGAAGTGGAGAACACCCGGGTGTGGCACGCCCGGGTGGATTTTCCAGTCCATTCCAGTCCTTGAACCCAAGCCGGAGGAAGGGCAGGTCAGCCGCCAGACTCACTGAGCCCTCCCAGTTAAAAAAGCACACTCCACAGGCTGGCCAAAGAGGTTAAAAAGACAACAGGAAAGGTTTTAAAAAAGTTCTGTCATTATTTCATTATTAATACAATGACTGCTCTTGGAAGTATCTTTACTTCACTTTCAATTAAATCTCATTCCACAGTCCGGAGGTGGCTCGGCAGGTAAGGGCTCTTGCGGCCAGGCCTGCTCAACCAAGGTCCCGGAACCCATGTACCCACGTGTGTGTGAGTGCACACGTGTAGTCACACTCAATAAATAAATGCATGTAAAAAGTTAAACAAAAGTGAATCACTTGACAAAAATCATCTGATCTCTGAGGACATTTAGGCAGTTACTGCAGCTGTTGCAGAGGGGGCCATTGTCACCCATTTGAACCTGTCTCCCTTTCCATCCTTCTGATAGCCAGATGTCCTAGGCTATCGGTATCGACTGGACACAGAAGGGTGGGGTCCTTCTCGTGTGGCAAGATTACTTTTGTTACCAAGGTTACTGGATGCAGCCTTCCTATCTGGCAGGGCCAGATGGGTGTGGCAGCCTCTAAGTGGGCAAAAATGTTCTCTTAATATTTCTTCTTAATAATTTTCTACTTCACACAATTTCTTACTTAATTTTCTATTTTCTATATTATACCTATCCTTATACTATAGATTTCTTACTTTACCTACACTACAGATTCCCCTTTTTTTACTCATTCCATGCTCATTACAACTCTCCTCAAGGAAAAAAGGCAAAAAGAAGAGGAGGGTCTGGGAGGAGGGATCATCAGGAGTGGGCGGGAGTGAGAGGTGAGTGGTGGAGGGTATGATCGGAACACATGCATGAAGGTAACGGTCAGAGGCCACATTTGCACAAGTAATACAAGCTCATAAAATTATTTAACACCCAATCATGGTAGGATTTTTCTCGGCGGAACAGGATTCCCGTGTTAAGCTGAGAGCAAAGCAAGGCA